CTCTCTCTCACACACACACACACACACACACACACCAACACTCTCTCTCTCTCTCTCTCTCTCTCTCACACACACACACACACACACACACACACACACCAACACACACACGGACACCCAATTTCCCAACACACACCCGAAAAACATTTCTCAAAAATACAGTACAACCTAGCGACCATGTCCCTCATGATAAAAAATGACAAAAAATACCCTGCTTTTTTTTTTTTTTTTTAATAGTTTATTTTCGAATTTTGTTTTTCTTTTTTTTTAAATAGAAAACCAAGTAGGATTCCAAAATAACAAATATAGGATTGTAGGGTTTTGCAAGCCCTACAACCCTATATTTTGTTTCTTTTTTGACATATTTTTTGGGGTATAACCGCGGTGAAGGCCGCGGGTGTCACAAAGGCAGGGGCGCGGGCGAGCCTGGTTAGCCTGATCGGATTAAGGGGGGTGACTATTCTCGGTCTGTGCAAGTGGTGGGTGGTAGACGAGGGACTGTCCGCACCAGAGTCCGAGATGGTTGGGCTGACAACGAGAGGTGGTTTTTGAGAGGAAACGATCAAGTATTTTCGTTAAAAAAAAAAGAAAAAAAAAGGACCGCAATAGTACCGACTAATTTCTTAACACGATATCTACGGGGAAAGTTATTTCGTACACCATATTTACAGAAAAAATGTTCAAAAAGAACGGAAAAAAAAAAACGAAGGAAGAAAAAGACAAATCCTATCCATCCATTTCCTAGTTATACAGTTATACCATGACGGACAGTTCATGCCGGACAGTCAACAGGCGGAGTCAGATCGCTGTATCTAGCCAGAAATTTGCGCCACATATATGTCATTAGGAATCAGATCGTTCTTCAATTATGACCGTCGATTACGAAGATGGTAACACAACGAACTGCCCTCTTCCCGCAAGAAGGACGTCCAGTCATAGTCATGATCATGGACTGTATCTGGACTCAACTTGGTCCACATACAGTGTCATGAAGAGTCCGATCTTTCTTCCTTTCTAACCGTAGATTACGAAAAAGAAGATAAAAACAGCTTCAGTCTTCCCGCGAATCGAACATCCGGTCACTAAAGCTGTACCTAGACCACAAGATGGCCCAAGTACAGCTGTAAAGTCTTTTTCTTCCTTCGTAACCGCAGATTACGAAGAAGTGAACGATGAACAACTACCCTCTTCCCCCAAATAGAAAATCCGATCACTTTAGCTGTACCTAGACTGCAAGATGCCCCAAGTACAGCTATTATGACCGGCCTCTTAATTCGAGTGAAGACGGAAGAAACGGAGCATACGGCCCACTACGAGCTCGGTCCCGATATCCACGAGTGCTAGTCGGATGCAATAAACTTGTATGCATCTTCAGCTAGAAACTGGACAGATACACTCGCCATTTTGATTTACGTACTTCTCAAATTCGACCAAGCGCTGAAGAGCGCCTTCAACAAACTTACCCTGCCTGCCCGCCCTCCTCTTCTTTCTTTTTTCCCTTTCTTTTCCACGTCCTTCTTTTTCTTCCCGCCTGCTTTGATTTACAATCAGCACCCCCTTCTCTCACCCCACCCCCCTTTCCCCAATCTCCGACTATATACATCACCATCTCCACCTACGCTATCCTTTACAATCAACACCCCCTTCTTCTCTCACCCCGGCCCCCCTTTCCCCAATCTCAGACTATGTACATTACCATCTCCGCCTACGCTATCCTTTACAATCAGCACCCCCTTCTTCTCTCACCCCGGCCCCCTTTTCCCCAATGTCCGACTATGTACATTACCATCTCCGCCTACGCTATCCTTTACAATCAGCACCCTCTTCTTTCATCCCGCGCCCCCTTTCCCCAATCTCCGACTATGTACATTACCATCTCCTCCTACGCTATCCTCTACCGTCAGATTTCCGTCGATCTTGGCAGAGAGTCAGAGACTTCCGCAATCGCCAGCCATCTCCCCTTTGCGCCAGCCATCCCTTTGTTTCCACTCGAGTCGACTTCACAATCCTCAAGTGCCACCTCTTCGAGTGCCATGCATCCCTCTGTTTCCACATAATTTTTGTCTTTTGCGCGCGTGAAGAGTAGCGGAGCCAGGCCGTTCACAATTGTTTTTTTCACTCTCCACGAGCGACATGTCCTCGATACTTCACATTTCACAACCGGAACCCCCCTGCTTTGCCCTCCCACCTGGGCCACCTCCCCTCCTCTACTCTCTCCTATGCTCTGCCTGCAGATACCACTCCCTCGAACTCTCATGCCCGCCCCCCCCCCTTGTGCCAATCCAGGCACTCTCCACGGTGCAGATCGCGGCCATCACGGGACGCTCTCTAAGGTCACCCTGTCGATCACGGCGCCCAGATCATGCCACGCTGACGGTCGCAAACCTCTACCGTCTTCCCCCGAACACAACGCACCCTTATTTTGGCTGTATCTGGCCGGAAATATAGCTTGTATGCATTCACTTTTAGGGTGCGTTATGTTCGGGGGAAGACGGTAGTAGGCTGCGGAAGTCCCCTCAGGTCCCCCGCTGCGACACTTCTGATCGCGGCGCGCAGTTCGTACCACTCTGACGATCACAAGGCAATCAGCAGGCTGTGGAAGTCGCCTGTGGTCGCCTTCTGCCACGCTTTCTGTCATGGCGCGCAGTTCAATTCATGCTGGCAATCGCGGTGGCGCGCGGCTCATGCCACGCCGGCAATCCCGGCGGCGCGCAGCTCATGCCACGCTGGCGATCACAGCCATTAGCAGGCTGCGGAAGTCGCCTGAGGTCGCCGATTCCACCTTACGCATCAACGATCCATGGTGAAGCTCGTACGCCTCCTTGATCTGCCATAAATCCATGTCCTTGCGCGCGATGATCGCCCTGACCAAATCTCCTCCATCCGTTCGCAGCCCAGTCAGCGCTTTGTGGATGATGTCAGCAAAAGCCTTTGCAGGCTCCAGCAGAAATTTGCTGAGCATGAGCAGGTCTTTCTCGAAATTCCCCGAGAATTGATCGTCCATCACCGTGAACAAACTCGTTCCGTACAAGGCCTCGTACTCTCTGAACACAGCTCTAATTGTATCGGCACTTTCGGTGGTCAATATATCGATGAACGTGCCCTCATCTGCACCCCATCTTGCAGGCCCAGCCTCATAAAGGGCCTGGGCGAGTATCCGAGCCTGGTCGCGATCTGCATGATGCGATTCCACTCGATCGAAGGTCAGCAATCGCTCGTACAACTTGCGCTCTTTCCCCGAAAACGCGCCCAATACATCCGACACCATATCCTTTCCGTGCTTGAGGTAATAAGCGTCGGCGATGGCGCGTAGCTGATAGGTCGTCCGGGTGCAAAGGATCTCCCTCGCGGTCCCTTTCCTATTCAGCAATCCCGATACCGACTTGTGAATCCACTCCGCGTCGCGGATCGCCGGGGATTCCACCAGCGCCAACAAACCCTTCTGGAAATCGCCGCTCGTCTTCCGCCTCACTTCATCGACGATATCCCGACCGTGGAGGGTCGCGGCCGTCTCCACCATGGCTCGGCGCTCTGAGAAGGACGGGTACGCCGTGTATCGGATTAGCTCTGCAACCGCTTGATCTTGATTTGCCTCCAGAGCTGCGGCAGGGTTCCAGGTCGTGCCAAGCGCCACCGCCTTCTCGTCGTCGCTAACCAATGCTGCACAAAACAAGCACACACACAGATGAGGGTCTTTTTTTTTTTTTCTTTTTTTTTTTCCCTCCCCAATCCAAGAATCATCACAAAACATCCAAAGAACAACATAATGGAGAAACTGTATAGCAGAAGATGCAAGGTTGGCCACGTTTGTGTGTGTGTGTGTGTGTGTAGAGACACAGATGATGATGTATTGTCGAAGACAGTAATCGGAAACAAACAAAAATATCTGTGATGAATTCGCACGAAGAAAAATTGAGCTAATTCAACTTAATTGACTCCAGATACATATATGATGATATCTGACATACATTTCGCTTCATGAATTCAAATTACATATCCGACATATATTTGACTTTGCTCTATCCAAGATATATCTCTCATCTTCGCACATCGGACGAGCACTGATGGCTAAAACAAAAAGAACTGACAATAAAAATAGATTGGCCTTCATTAAGTCAACATCCTTGCCATACATAGTTTTTTTAACGGCCTTGGTGTATCATCATAGTTTTTTTAACGGCCTTGGTGTATCATCGATTCATCATCCAACTGACCGGCCACGGGCTATTCAGAGTCGTGTTGTTCATCGCATACCGAGATTCGAACTCAGGTCGGTTTATCAATAGTCAAAGGGCGTGTGGCGTTCAGTGCCGATTCGAACTCAGGTCGGTTTATCAATAGTCAAAGGGCGTGTGGCGTTCAGTGCCGCTCACTGTTCAGCCACATGGGTAGAACCGTGCGTTCTACTCGAGGGAACAGGGAATTAGCTGGCGGTACAAATCGTACGGACATTTTTCATACGGGAGCAAGTTACGTGTACTCCCCTAAACGTATCTGACCGCAATTACGGGCAAACCGGAGTGTATTTCACCGCAAGGACGTATTGCATACGGGAGCGGCGGAGCAAGTTACCACACTTTGGAGATACATACACCTCACAGACACACTCTCACACACAGACCTGTACACCCCTGAATGTATGTGACCGCAATTACGGCCAAACCTGAATTGAATTTCACCGCAATCGCGTCCAGAGCGCAATTTGCTTTTCTTTTTTTTCTTTCAAGTCCAGAGTCCAGAACGTAGTTCAGGAGTCAAAGCAAGGGGCTCATCAGCCACGCTATATACAAAGCATGTCGGCGCACTTTTCCCGTTTTCGAAATTTGGCTGCTATCTTATATATTATAATTCTACGGAAGACTGTAGAAAGCCCAGATGCATTAATTAACAGAACAGAGAAAAGAAGCCCCTCACATCAAGATTTAGAACGCTCTGCTCCAGCGGCAGACCAGTTCAGAGTCGTCTGAAACGCGTACCTAAGCGAGCAATCAACCACAAATCTCTTTTCCAAAAAAGCAAGGAAGAGGACGGAGGAAGGGGGGGGAAGGGAGGGGAGGGGAGGGGAGGGGAGGGGGAACATAACACAGTATGAAAGAATGAAATTCAACAATCAAAGAGAGACGAGGGGAAAGGAAAATAAGACCGATACCATCGAGCGCTCGAATGAAGGCATACGCAGCAACTTCCGCCTCGAACCTATCATATCCACGTCCTAGTTGAAGGACCGCCATAGTTTCTTCCACCTACCACTACACCACCCACCCGCTTAGCGCACACTACCCACAATCTCGACCTAATCCCCTCTCTCTCTCTCTCTCTCTCTCTCTCTCTCTCTCTCTCTCTCTCTCTCTCTCTCCGACTCTTTTAAATGCTCTCCTTGTCTGTTCGTCTGCCCCACCTCTGTCCCGGCGAAGTGCTCTTCAACCCGGTTCGCACATACACACTACAGTAACTGTGATGCGGGTAACTTTAAAATCCGATCCCGATCTCCCGCTGTAAATCCACCCTCGGCAGTACTGCGCTGAAATAACCTGAAGTTCTGAACACCTACGCGCGTCGCACACCCATTGCGTCCTCCACGTGCCGCTCACAGCCCGTTCTCTATGCGACCGATCTCCCAACAACGAGCTTCAATCAAAGTGCCTTCCTCTCCCTCCTTATATCGAGGTTCCGTCCTCTCCCTCCTTATATCGAGGATGATGCCCTTCTATAGATATCGTGACCTGCACCAGGAAGTCTCGGTCGATTCGATTGTTTGGTCTTCGCACGGCTACCTGCTCTACGAGATTAATACTCCAGGAGTACGGCGTATACATCCTGTCGCGCTCTTTATCCTGTCGGCTTCGTTTTTCTTCCTTCGCTTCTTTTTTTGAGGGGGGGGGTCAAGCCCTGTTTTTTAGAAGGGCGATGGCCTTGAGGTATTATCATCGGACATCGGACTAACCAGCCCAGGTAAATTCAATATTGTGTCTAATCTGACATCGGGTGGCCTTTTCAGCCCAGGGTCAAGCCCTGTTTTTGGTTTGTTTTGTTTTGTTTTGTTTTGTTTTGTTTTATCTACACCGGTCAACGCTATAAGACCAGGCGGGTCGGAGTGGGAGGCTGGTCAACGCCAGTCAAGGCCAGTCAACGCTATAAGAAGACCAGGCGGATGGGAGGATCATACTGCCTGGCTGCTGCTCGTTGCCAAGTCGCTGCACGCGAGGAAGTAGAAATGTGGAGCTAGTGCCTGGACCTCCCCCTCCCCATTTGGGCCTTGGCCTTCTGCAATAGCGCCTCGGAGAAGCTGGCGAGTACTGGGGCATTTTGGAAAGCTCAATGGTACTCGGTAGGCATATATTGCAAAGATGCGGGTTCAACGGACCCAGGGGTATTTCACAAAAAAATATATATATGTCGTAGGGGCATTCCCCTCTTCCCACGTCTTTTAGGGGCATTTTGGCATATATCTCAACTTATCAGGGTATCTGGCAAATTATCCCAAAAAAGAAGGAAAAGAAAAACATCTGGGAAAAAGAAAATGTTGTGTTGAATTGCAAAGCAAACCACTTTCTTTTTTTTTTTTAATGAAGAGCAAATCATATTCACATAACCGAGAAGCGAGCCCGGCGTCCCTTACATCATATTCCCATCCCAATCACAGCCCCCAAACAAAATTCACGACCCCTTTATTGAAAAGAGATAAAATCCTAATCACCCTTGTCAGCAAACCATATGGGACGTTGGGCCCATTTCCCAGCTCGTGCTACTCCCCACGAATAGATTGGAGCTTTTCTCCCCCCCCCCAAAAAAAAAACAAAAATTTGTCAGCAAACCACCATTATTAGACAACCCTAATGCGGCAAAATCCAATCTAACTAACATTCAACGAACAAAATCAGAAAACCAAGATGCCTAATGTTCTCACCATGCTTACCCATGAACGAAACTAACAGATCATTCACAAAATTCCAACTCTATAGGGTCACATGACTCACAGAATAAGAGATTAAAAACAAAAGAAAGCACACTAAGGTACCCCCCTTTAAGCCCCTTCACCCCTTTAAAACCAATTGATAACCCCTTCCCCCACCTTGACAGCCGACTCTCAAAAAAAAAAACGTGCCCGAATTTGGGGTCCTCTGAGAGACTGCAGAAAACGACTTTTTTCTTTTTTAACACGCCCAGCATCGTGCCGGGGTGCTTGGTCGGGCGTGACAATCTTCCTAAGACTTTGGGATAATTTTAGAAAATACAAAATTCAAAGTTCTTTGGGATAACTTCTTGTATGCCTAACCACCTCCTCCTTCTCTTTCCCCCCCCCCCCCCCCCCCCCCCTCCTAAAACGACTTTATTATTACTGGGTCCTAGTGCCCTATGTGTCTATTCAATGTGCAATGGAAAAGTTTCAACGCCGTTGTACCCGTTGAATAGCCCTCGTGGCCCTGTTTAATCCCCGTTGAATAGTACAACGGGCCCTCCCCGTTGAGTACTGTTCAACGGGGAAGGCGCATTGGGCCTCGGACACGTCGCTGGACGCGCGTGGAGCAAGAAAAAAAATTCATCCCGTTGAATCCCGTTGAATCCCGTTGAATCCCCGTTGAATCCCGCTGAATCCCGTCGATTTTTATTTATTTTTTACCTCTAACCACAAAGTCTAGGAGCATGGTTCCCTTAGCAGTCGAATAGGAATGTGGCCGATCCAATGTGACACTAAGTGGCAGTGGGCTGACAGGTTCGTTACCAATTTCTGGGCTGAGAAAACATGAGGATGGCAAAAAAAAAAAAAAAAAAGAGAGACCTCCCACGTGAAATCACGGCAGAGTGCACCTTTCAACGGGAAACCCCCGTTGATTAAAAATTACATCAACAAGTGTCACTAGCAAAGGCAGTCGCCAGCCGGGTTATATTCCTTTACGTCCAGCACAGTTGTCCCTGTGTATGAAAGATCTTGCTATAACACAACCCCAGTATTAGAAAACCATACGTTCTATTTTTTAACACGCCAAGGTACCCCACGCATCGCGCAGGGTTGCTTGGTCGGACGTGACAGTATTAAAAAACACACGTTCTTTTGTTTAACACGTCAGGGTACCTTGGGCATCGCGCCGGGGTGCTTGGTTGGACGTGACAATCTTCCCAAGATTTTGGGATAATTTTAGACAAACAAAAATTCAAAGTTATTTGGGATCACTTATTGTATGTCTAAAATCCGTCTCCTCGCTCCTTTTTTTTTTTCTTTTTTTTCCCCTAAAACGACTTTATTATTACTAGGGCACAGTGCCCATGCCAAAATTACATCAACAAGTGTCACTAGCAAAGGCAGTCGGGTTATATTCCTCTACGTCCAGTACAAAGCCCTGTCGCCGTGTATCAAAGATTTTGCCATAACACAACCCCGCTATTAGAAGCTACAAAAGAAACCCTACTCTCCCTCACTGCCAAAACCCAATTTACAAACAACAAAACCCTACTATTTATCGCTGCATACCTAGGAAATGAATCGTATTTCGTCCAAGTACCAAGTTAAACAAGTGAAAAGTAAAAACCATTAAATGATTAAACCATAATCTGACTCATCATTGGACCTAGTTGGCGCCCAGTGGCACCACGGAAATCATCTGACAATCAGATTCATTCATTGTAGCTTCTTCACAGGGAATGGAAAAATTTTCTTCGCACTTCATTATTATAATCACAGTTGTCAGGCCGAACATACGGAGGCCCCTAAGCTGACCCCCGAGCGTTCGGGCGTTCGAGTCCCCGTACGGGGCCCGAACTCGAAGAGGTTGGGACCTCGCGAAAAATTATTTTGGTACCTAACAATTATTTATTTTTTCTGATTTTTTTTTTGTGAGTTCTCTGTTATGTAAGCTACCTGTCTCTCAATTTTGAAGTCATTCTGTCCAGCCAAACAATAACAAAAAATCGGCAAAGATGGTGGTGTCAAAAATTGCTTTCCCACTTACTAATTTGTTTTTGTTTTTTTTTTTAGTTTTTGTTTTCCCTTTATTTTGGGGCCTGAAAAAAATTATTATTTTTTCAAACTTTATTTGTAGGTTATCGAAGATGTAAGATACATATTTATAAAACTTCACGGTATTTGACAAAGCCAAAAAAAAATGAAAAATCGCCAAAAATGGCAGTGTCAAAAACTTGCTCGCCCACGCAATAATTTCATTCTCGTTATTTTTTTTCTTATTTTCATTGATGTTATTTATTTTTCATATTTCATTTTTATTTCAAATTTGGTAAGGAATTTGGATGTACTGTTGTGGCAAATGTTGTTTAGATTATTCTTCTGCAGGAAATATCTTTTTTTCAAAATTTTAAGAAACTTTTGGTTTTTTTTTTTTTTTTTTTTTTTT